TATTATTATTATTATTATATAACATAAATACTATGATATGTATATTTGATAATAAATTTGTAGTATATTATATTAATGCGACATTAAATGATATCGTAAATATATTCGAAATATATTTTTTTTGTTTTCTTTTATTTCTGACAAATCTTAAAAATTATAATATCAAATATAAATACAAATGCGTATCTTAAGACATTTTTTTAGGTTTTTTAGAAGTCGTTATGAAACATAAAGCAAGTTGGTATTGCATATGTTATGTACATTATGTATAAGATACGCTAAAGCTAAACTTTTTGAATCCTTTTGAAATGTATACATACATACGGAAATACATCTCGATCACTCATCGATTTAAACTTCTTACTTCATAAATTACTTCTAATATAAATTGTATCATTTAATCTTATCAGATTACGATTTTTGCTTATAAAAAATGTCATTTTTTTTAAAAGGAAAGAACTTATACTACTATGGTCTATTTTTTCAGCAAATGCATCTATTACTTTCCTATATATAATCATTTTATTACATCGTGATTATAACAAGTAATTATAGAGTAAATGAAATTTCATAATATTATACATTATAAATTTAATCAATATACATTTTGCATGCTGTAGATTTAGGAGAATCAAATGAAATCGAAAACATTGCTTTATAATATTATGTAAAATATTAAGTAAGCATAGAAAAAATTAGGAACATTACAAAATATAAAAAAGAAATGAAAGAAGAATAATTGTAGTACATAATATGACACATTAATAATACAATGTTTTATAATTGAATTGGATATTTGTTTTGAATATATTAAAGCAACCATATATACGTCTACAGTAACTGTATATAACTATGTATCACAATTCATTTCTTCAGAAGCATTACTGCAATATACCACACAAATATTATCTTGTAAATTAAGCAAAAAATCTTGAAATTGTTGTCAAGATGGAAGACTTGAAAGTCGATACTGTTATACCATTTGCTTTCAAGTATAATATGTTGTACTACAAATATTAACATCTTATTGACTATTGTATTTATACATTATACAAAGCAATGTGTTATAAAGTAGTAGCAGAACATAAACTTATTCTACACTAAAAAATAAGTTAAATTAATATTCATTTATACAAATCATTTTTAAAGATAATAATTTAGAAGAATATAAATTATTTAGTATATTATATAGCAGCTAGAGGTAATAAGCTTTAATGATAAATTTTAAATAAATAACAATTCAATATCAATATTACAGTAGTCAACAAGGTGTCAATAAAATTATTTCATTTATAATACAACCTTATGAGAAGTACATAGACCAAGTATAGCAGTTTATCATAGGACGCAACCAGACTTCAAGATTGTCTTTACAATGCAATTCTATTTATAAAAATAGTTTATACTAAAAATAGTTATGCATAAAAAATTGTAAATCGTAATTCTTTGGAAAATCAGAATATTAAAACAAACAAAACTTGTATTGCATATACTTTTTGGCTACTTTCAAGCAAGTATTTGGCATTTCTTAATGCATTCATTTATTTACATCTTATCATTTTTCTATTTACTTTTTATTTCATCTTTTATAATGTATAAAACCAATCCATTTATTATAGTAAAAATATATCTTTTTGTTTTGTGTTGACAAATAAAAAAAATTCTGTTTAGGCAAAAATTGTAGATATGTTAATATTATTCTTACTTCAATACACTATGAATGCCATTCAAAATTACTTATGTATGCTATTATATTTTGGCATTATACAGTTCCATGTCAACACTTAATTATTACTTTTTAAATTTCTCTATAATAATGTGCTTGATTTCTGGTAGTAAAGTACAAAAATAAAAATAAGCTGCAGTTATTCTATGATGGTGTTTCAGAGATTCAATGAAAATTTAGATTATTTTAATTTTCATAAATGTAATCAGTTATTATATAAATGTTATCTTATTTCTATTTTTTAACATTTATACGACCTCAATTTCTGAATATAAAATGTTACAAAGCTATTGTAAATAAATTAAGTAACTCATTTAAAAACATGCATTAATTTAATTACAATTTTTTTACAAGATGACTGTAATTTAAAAGTATTCTTTACATGAGAACATTGCACAACAATAAACATAATCTTCCTTCAGAACCTTAAAAAATACTTCATTTGATTGGAGGAATTTAACAAAACTTATTGCAGCATTTATAAAATATATTAATTAATGATGCAATAAAAGTTTTATATGTATAGACATTTATATGAATTTTAAAAAATAATTAATCAAAATGTTAAAAATAAAATTTATTAAATTTTGGTATGAAATATTAGTTGTTATTTAAGTATTTATTTTAAACTAATTTTACTCTTATTTTAATACTAATTTTACGAAGTTGATAATTAAAAATAAGATTTTACTATTTAATATAATACTATCATCATTTGAAATAACTGAAATTTATTAAATATGCAAGTAGTATTTTGCTTTTATAATTCCATTTATAACAAATAGGCTAATTTTCTAAAAATTTTATTAAAATATAATTGCTACAAATTATTATTCATTTTATTCATTACAAATTATTATAGACAAATTAATAATTAATATTTTTACATGGTAATGACTAATTATTATTTGCATATTTAATGATCAAAATCTTACAAATATAAATTTACATAATTGCTAATTTTAATTTGATTTATATAATTCAAAAGGAAAAGAGAACAGTTGCAATTAAGATTCATTTATATATAAATTATTATTTCAGACAATACTTCCCTTTTCATTTTTGTAACTATATTTTTTTACTATGTAATGTCACTGTGTAAAAAGTAACTCTATAGAAACAAAAAAAAATTCATTAAAATATATTCTAGCTATATTATTACTTAAAAATTACACTAAAAATTTATACATGAAATTCAAACAATAAAAGAAATAATATAAATAAATTGGCAATTTGTAAAAATAAATTTTACTATTTTTTTGAGATAAACATAAGTTCATAAATAAATCTTAATAGGCTCAAAAGAACAAGGCTACCAATATATTAACTTTCAGTGCACATTTTTGCTTTTGAAAACATAAATGTAAAAATAAAAAAATGATTAATGATACTAATATAACAAATACCAAAGTAAAAGACAATATAATATTTATATAATTTCAGTTAGTTATTATAACAATTAAAAGCAAAATTGAAAAATAATAAAAAATTGTTAAAGTAGTGAAGATTTTAATCATACAAGATGTATATGATCAATTATAAATCATTAGAAATATGTGATGAGTTTTACGTGCACTTTATAATTCATAATTGGAGAAATAATAAACATAAATTAATACAAATCATAAACGCAATTTACATAAAAATTTTTTAAAAGATACATGATGTAAATAGAAAAATAAGAATATAATGTTATAAAATATATATATCACTTTATGTATTCATTATATTTTATTTTAATATCAATGTAAACTATATATGAACACAAATTTGGAAAAATATTTGAATACAAAAAAGTACTTTATACATATCATGTCAATTAATGAAACTTTGACTTAGAAGTTCCTCAAATATGTTTATTGAAATCATTCATAATAAATTCTATTGAAATGCACAACATTTATGCGCAGAAAATTTATAAAATTAAATTCAAATTAATTTTTATAACGTGAAATATTTGCATCTTTTTCTATTTATTATTAATGAATTAGTTATAAATTTGTCTATTAAATCAATTAATTAATCCATGACCATTTATTCCTTTTAATCAAAGAAGTACGGATTATGAAGAATATGAAACATTATTATTATATTTATGTAACATTTTACTATCGTATTTTACTGTATTAAGAGGTCCCTGATTAAAAAATTAATCTTTTCAGCAACTGTAGATAATATTTTAATGTATTATTTGCATAAAACAAGAATTTCTACTCAAAATAGAAAATTACAATATTTTATTACTGTACAAACTGAAGAAAAAAGATATAGAATTGTAAAAGCCAATACGTAAATAATATTAATTAAATATTCGGTAAATAATATTTATAAAACTTGTATTGCATTAAAATATTTAAGTAAAAGAATGTATCAAATTATAGAGTAATAAAAATGATATGCTTATGAAAATTTGCAATTAATTAATATTATACTAGAAATAGGTTTATTGAACATTTTCTTATTCTCATACCTTGATTGAAAAGATATGGAGATAAGTAAGATACTTATATCCAAAATTTAGGATAGAATGGCAATACTACGTCTAGGTCCACCTATGCATATGTTGTCTAAACTTGACCATCTTTTAATACCAGTACGTAAAGCTTCAGCAGTAACTTTATCTTCATAAACTCTGGACATAGCTTCCAATTTCTGAGCTTTCTCTTTACTGAGTGGTTCACTAGGGAATGTTAATTCATTTGCTTCTGCAAGTGTGCGAAGATCAAAATAATATTTAGCATATACGCTTGAAGGAACATTTATATTGAACTGTAGCATTTCCAAAAATTGTCTTTCTAATTCATTCCTAAATAGACATTAAATAGATTAGATTATTAAATACATTTTATCATAGTAAAATATAAATATAAACTTACATATCTTCTACTGTAATATCTTTAAGAATTTGACAATAATCTATATTCCATACTGCTTGATCATCCCAAACTTTTGATGCTAATAAAATAGCTCCAAGTACTATTCGTTTCCAATTGGCTGGTGTGATATCTATTTCAGCATAAGTAAGCAGGCGTTCTAAATAAACTAATGTTATGATGGCACATTCTGCTGTAAGTTGAGCAGCATTAAACAATGTCCTGACAAATTTATAAATTTGTTTATGTTCTGGATTCTGTTTATCATAATCTTCTGTAACACCTTCCCTCTATAAATAAAAAATACATGATACATGTATTTTTAAATTTATATTTTAAATCATATTTTATTTAAAAAAAAATTTAATAATAACTTTATAAAAAAATTTTATGCTGGAGATTTTTCATATAAGTATTTCTTTTATAAGTTTAGCACTAAATACTATAGTTCTACATTACATGAAATATATTGCAGTTTTTGAGTTACAACCTATACTGTACTAATTTTTCTGCATATTGATACAATATAATTGAATGTTGGTTTACTAATTATTTGGAAGTTTTATGTATCATAAGATTCAATTTGTGAACACTATTAATCATTGCTTATATTATAAATAAAGTAATTAATATATAGATGATATCCAAGGAAATATTACATGCTTATTTCAAATTACTAGTAATTATACATTTTTGTAAAGATTATAACTTAATAAATTAATATGTTATTTAAAAATTGAATTAACAAATATGTATCATATGCATGAACTTTCAGAATATAGTGCTTTTACAAAGATTTCTGTATATAGAAAGGTTGTCAAATTGTTGTTTACTAGATAAAAAGATATTTGAAAGAAATACATAAGTTTTCAATAAAAAATATATCATAAATCATGGTATGCATATCAATACAGAAAGGGTTGTTTAATTAAAAGAAGCATTTTAAACAATGTTGCATTAAATTCTAATGATCAAGAAGAAAGGGACATATGGTATGGAAAATTTTACATGGAGAGTAATTTCATCCAAACTTTGTCTAAATCTAATTATTATAAAGAGTTGTCAATTAGACACATGTAAACAATTAACATTTCTATATTTAATATTATTTATAGACAAAGATGGTTTTACAAAGAGTGACATATTTAATTTTCATTATCATATATAGTTTAGATATGATACTATTCCATTGTTGTTCTGCTATTGACCAGATCAACTTGAATCCACTTAATTATTTGTTAATGGAAACATTTAACATTTATAGTCTATACAACAACAATTGATAGTGTTACAACACTTTATCAGTATATTGAACAAATTTGTCTGTAAATCTGTACAATACCTGATTGTTTTGTAAGATATATTTATGATTATATTCAAGCTGGAGATCACCACATCGATTAATTTTTATGAGGATAAATTTCTATATAGATATAAGCAACAAATACAACTTAAAGACTATTGTAATTCAAAAACTATATTACATTGGATATATATTTATATGAACTTTTTTTTATCACTTTTGTGTTATAAATTCATGCAATATTTTCCACATAGTATAGAGTAAGTTGTATATCTTCCAATTTTTTAATTTTATTTAACAAATTATATATAATGATTACCGTTAAAGGATGGAGTTTCTCATCAAATATATCAATTTGTCGCTGTGAAGTTCTGTTTTTAATGTGGTAATAAACAGCTAAGGCAACGCATTTTACAGTATTTTTAGGATTTGGTTGTGAAACAGTACTATCATCTAAATATATTGTACTGCAACTGCTACTTTTTTTTAAAGGCCTTACATCTGCAATTTGGTGTTGACTTTTTTTTCTCACCATACCATCTAAAAAATATTTTTTAATATAATTTTTTAATTAATATCACTTAAAATATACTAAATGTAATGAATGATTAATGAATTATAATCTTAAAAGTATAATTTTTATAGTTATAATTATTACTATATACTTTTTATGATATAATTAAGTTCATATAGAAAGATTAAGCTTTAACATCAAGAACTTAATACTACATTTTTTAAACTAAATATTTTAATGTAATTTTTTAATTAGAATTTAACATAATATCAAAATGTTTATTTTTTTTTAACATAAAACATTTTAAAAACTTTCAAATAAATATACATACTTTCAATAGCTTGTTTAGATCGTTCCATAAAAATAGTACCGGCACAGGGGTGTAATGATGGATCAGAATCCCAGTCTTCAGGTTCACGTTCACTAATATGTTGTAAATTATTAACACTAATTCCACCTTCAGGTAGATGTTCTTCAAGTCCATGAGTAACACCTTCAGATCCTAATTCCTTACGTCCAACTTGAGGACTAGAATAAACGCAGCAACTACTTTTATTTCCCATTCTTTTAAAAGACTTGTTGATATCTGAGAGGCTCCAGTTAAGAGACTCCAGTTGAAAGTTCATAAAATATAAATCAGACTGTAATACCCAGTACTACAGGAATCATACAAATGATGTAATTTAAATCTCCTCACAACACATCTTTCACATGTTTTTAAATGACAATCACCTGATGTAAGTATTGGCAATGTGAATATACATTCCTTCTCCACTTTCATCCACATTGATGCTTAAATACACCATATACAATCAAGAAAAAAACATTTGCATAAGTTTGTATAAAGAGAAATTATGTCTAAAAATTTGATAAGCCACTTTAGAAATTATTGCAACTAGTAATATAATAAACGTCTATTACATTGACAACGCCTTTAAGCACGATTTGTGCCGGTTGATTTATTGTTTAAATTATCGGTCAGTCAAATTTCATTTCTGCTCGTATACACGAGCTTTGATGCGTTTTGTTCTTATTGTACGACATTCTCATTATTACTGCACATTTAATGCGATTATTTCAATATTTTTATGTTTATCGCACGCCGTCTTGAGTCTACTGTTTTGATATTGCATATTCATGCATAAACTATAATGTGCATGTACATTAAAGAGGCTTGACTTCAAGTTTTACCTTGTATGTTTTCATTGGTCTTATGATAAAAAAATATTTTATTCTTTACAGAGATCGAGATTTCTTAATGCATCTATATTATCATTGGACGAAAACTAGGGATTTTAAGAATTTATTTGATAAACATATATCATGATGCATTGTAGCATGTATAAAATATAAATTATAATCTTTCAAAGAATGATATGTCAACAAAATAATGTTTTATATATTACTATTTATGTATATAATTATAAAATATAAATATATTTTGAATTACAGTTTTTAAATAATATATTGTTATGAACAAATTTAATGTACTAAATTAATAATAATATTTTTAGCATTGGTTCAAATAAATTGTAATTAAAACAAAAAAATTAGTTTGTAATATATAATTGAATTATTATTACTGTAGTAAAATTATTATTTTAATTATAATTGCAATTCATTTAATATTAAAATAAAATATACAATTAAAACGGGAATATTTGAATATATCTAAGATGTTTTAAATTTTCTACCTTGTAATGTATTTTGAAATTCGGAAAATAATTCTTTTCCTATTATCCTATATATTTTTACTAAATTTCTATTTAATTTATAAATAAATGTTATTTAAGTAATATATAATGCAATAATGACAAGTATTTAATAAAACCATATTTCATTTTGCTTTTTCTAAATTGTCTTTTTATTTTTTCATTTAAAAATATATCTTTTTAGAGTTTTATTTAAAAATATGTTTAAACAAATTTATTAATTATTATTATACTTCCAAATTAAATTAAAAAATAATATTTTAAATATGTACTGAACTGAATTACTTTCTAAATATATATTAAAATCAGTAGAAATATTTAGATATTATTTAAAAAAATTATTATATAGTTATTGCAAAATAGTATAATAATATTTTCAAACATTTTTTATGTTTTATATATATAAATAAATATGAAAATAAAGTAATAATTAATAATGTTATATATGTTATATAATAAACGTAAAAATATTAAATTATGTCCAATTTTCTACCAGTGATTTGTAATGTTACGTAGCAATAAATGTGATAAACAATAATGATTAAAATATAGTGTATATGATATACGCATGCGCACAGATTGATAAAATTTCAAGGTAGTTTTTAATTAGTTGTATGACATTGTATTCATTTAAAAAAAGCGTAGTAATTTTTAAAAACAACTATACATCACTATCGATTTCTATGCTCCAATCGATATCTATACGAATATATAAATATGAAAAAATATGATGAAATTTACTGATTAAGTTTAATTAAAATAAAAGTGCGCGATGATACAAGAGCTCGAAATTAAAGACAGAAGGTTATCTGTTAACAAAAAGTCCACCATAATCGATTGGATTGATTATGTTGATGCATCGATAACATACGATGAATTTTTTTCTAAATATTTGATGGAAAATAAACCATGTATTTTTAAATCAAGCATAACAGAAAATTGGTCGTGTAAAAGACAGTGGAATTTGGAGAGTGCACCCGACTTTGATGTTCTTGATATATTGTTTGGTAAACTAACTATAAATATAAATATATATTTCACATTATTTTGTATAGGTATAATTCACATTAATCCACTAAATTTTTTTCTAGGAGATTGTATGGTACCAGTTGCAGATTGTAACAAAAAATATTACAATTCACAATCTAAAGATGATATGAAAATGAAAGATTATTTAAATTATTGGATGGATTATGCAAAAAATAATTATTCAAATTCTATGCCACTTTTATATTTAAAAGATTGGCATTGCCCAAGATTGTTTCCTAATGCTCCTATGTATACTGTTCCTGAGTATTTTGCATCTGATTGGCTAAATGAATATTATATTGCAAATCCTAGTTTAAATGATGATTATAGATTTGTATATATGGGACCAAAAGGAACATGGTAAAGATGCACTTCTTAAATATTAAATTATTCATTTCCAATATGTAAATAAGAAAAATTAATTTTTACATATAGGACACCATTGCATTCAGATGTATTTGGATCTTATAGTTGGTCTGCTAATATAGTTGGAAAAAAACGTTGGTTACTCTTCCCTCCAGGTCAAGAAGATTTTCTTAAAGATGTACAAGGTCAATTAATATATGATGCAACAGCTGAAGAACTTAATGATTACACAAAGTATAAGGCCTATGATAAGCGAGCATTAAAATATATTGATGTAATTCAAAAAGAAGGAGAAATTATATTTGTACCATCTGGATGGTATCATCAAGTTTGGAATATAGTAAGTATGTTTATTTTTTGTTATTTTAATTAAAAAATATCTTGTACTTATAATATTTATTTATAGGAGGATACAATCTCCCTTAATCATAATTGGATTAATGGTTGTAATATTATGGATGTATGGCATGGATTAAAAAAAGAGTTAAATTCTGTGATGAAAGAAATTAATGATTGTAAGGATATGAGTAACTGGGCAGAACAGTGTCAACTAATATTAAAATCGACATATGGAATGGATTATAACTTATTCTTTGATTTTCTAATGTTTATAACTAAACAACGTTTAGACATGGTTTTGAATAAAGAAAACATAATTAGTTTTAGTAAATATAAACTTGGACTTAAACACTGCATATTTGACCTTCATTCAATAAAATTAACATTGATAGATTTTATTAATGATATGGAAGAAAAATCCATTTATTACTTAATTTGTGAAAAGCAACAAGCCCATAAATTGTTAAACAAAATTTTATTACTTTTGCAATCACATGATTCACTTGAACATTCATCGACATGATAAAAGATACAAGGATTAAAAATAAAATGAGACAGCAAAATCTCTGTTTTCATTTATGTGTAAATATTATAATATAAATATATACTAGTGTAATATATGCTGTGAACAAATTTTTATGTAATTATATAAATATTGAGTACAACTAAGTACACAATTTATAAAAACGAAAAAGGAAATCTTTTTTATTACATTTATTAATTAAAATTAAGAAAAAGAAATTTATAATATTTACAAATAAAGATTGTATATTATAAGTGTTGTAAAATACGTAATTAAAAATAAAAATTAACAAAATATTAAAAAGCACATTCTATTATATTTTTATTTAAATAATCCCAAATCATAAAATATTATTTTTAATTTAAAATATAAATAACAAACTGATTTATTTTGAGATCAACGAAAGGAAAATGATAATTAATATGTATTATTTGATAGTAAATATATCTTTCTGCCTGTAATTTTAAAAATATTTTTTATTCCAAAATGTTTTAACATCTAACACAATATAAATATAAAAATATGACACTGTGTTAAAAAAATGCGGTTTTTAAATTTTCTGTACTTAGAAATAAAAGATCTTCAGCAAGTGATATTACCATCAATCGAACAATTTTTGCTAGAAACAGTTTTTCAATTTTTAGAAATATGAATTATTTAGATAATTTATATCAATGTAAATATTTTTATATTTTGAAAGAAGCAATATTCTTCTAATTCAACAGTAGCACAAGTTGCTTTATAAAATGCAAAACTCTACTTGTTCACTTATATTGTGTTCAACAATGATACAATCTTCTTATGAATATATTTCATTGTCTTCATGGGAATTTTAAGTACTAAAATAATAAGTGCCCATAAACCTTTTTTATATTGTCTTATGCCTTACAAATTATATGTGCATAAGTGTCTTATGTCTACATATATACATATACATATTGTACAATTATGTACAATTTATTATTAATAAAAATATACAAAATATATAAGATATGTATAGATATTAATACGTATATTATCTGTAAACACAAAGAACTATAAAAACTTATTAGCATTAGGTGAAAAATGTGTATATACTGCATTTGTTCACTTTGAATTAATAAGATAAAACTACAAAGTAATTAGTATTATATCACGTATATATAATATTTCTAAATCATTATTTTTAACGATTTTGTGTATTTGTGTAAAATTATGAATTGGTCACTTTTCTTTAACATAATATAAAACGTGTATTAAGGATTCGCTTATGTAATTAATTGAAAAAGAAGAAATATATAAATATAATTAAAATATGATGATAGTATATCATGTCATTTATATTTTACTTAAAAACAAAGATATTATTTTGAAAAGGAAATATTTTGTTCTATGTGAAAATAATAGTTTAAAATTCTATACTTAGTTTGATTTTTTAATACATGTATATACAAATGTATTTTCAACTTATTAGAACATATTTAGTTTACGAAAAAATAGTTTTTACAAATTTATCTTGAATGATTTTAGAAACATAGGAATGAGTCATTTTAATTCAGTGTCATACAAATTTATACATCTGTCAAGTGTTTGTTTAAAGTTTAAAAATATATCGAAAAATAACAAAAAATACCTTCTATGAAAGAAGTAAATATATTTTTGTATATATTTTCTTTTATAAGTTCTATTAAAAATTTATATAAAATATTGCACTGATGATACATTTAGAAAAAAGGGTGACTACCGCAATTTTTTGCTATTTCATGTTAAAAGAAAAAGATTGTCATGGATAAAAGGTATAAAAAGGGAATACTACTTTAAATTATTTTCATATAAACTAATCTTCCGATAAAAAACAAGCAAATATAATTATATATTTCATTATGTACACACACGAGCATACGTCTCACGCGCCACGCACACACGCACTATTGCATCTTCTCATAACTTTTTTCATAATAGTACCAATTTTTGCTTGCATGGCAAGTACCTCTATTAGGGTATCATGTCTCACAAAGTCTTCCTATTAATTACCAACAATTAACACTATTACAAAGATTAGACTCCACGCAACGTGATTTTGTATCAATTAGCAAATGATGATTTTTTATACCTATATAATAGATACATACTTTTCATTGTCACATCTCATACATTTCTAATATTTCTTGTGGAAATAGATAATGGAATTGCACTCTATAATAAACATCACAAAAGATTATTAAAATTAGGTGACAAATTCTCACTATTTTTAATAGAAAGAATTTTTATGAAATTTATATGGTGTGATAAACAACCATAATATTCAAATAATTTTTATGTACGTATATGTACATATCTATTCATGTATGAATATGTCTCCTTTAGATGAAATGAACTGCTTAGAACAAATATGATGAATAATATTGAAGCACGTGTACAGTATCCCCCACGATATAGTGATGCTCTAAATTGATGCAACCACATCTTGGGTTGTATGTAACATTCTATAATTTTCAATATTTAACTAAACTAAGGTTGAGAATTTCTATTCTATACTTGCGGAAATTTTTGTCAATTCGCTTACCTGCGTGATTAAACATGTCAACTTTTTTACTTTTCTGATTTTACAATCTTGCTATATCGTGTAGGTTACTATAATGGAACTAGCAGAAATTAATATTTTGATGTTGATGTTATTATATTGTTTCTGCTATATCAAATGTAATTGATAAATTATATATCAAACATTCTTTCTAAGAAACTGATTTCTTTAGGAAAGAATTAAAATTAAATTATTAGACTTATTTTACTTCTCTTTCCAACTTAGAGAATATTATTTAAGAATTATATAGAATGTGTGGATAATGTTTGTAATGGTACTGTTGGAGTTGTGGGTGTTGTTAAAACAGGAATAGGTGTAGATGGTATTTGTTGATGTGTTTGTCTTGGCGGTGATAAAAGTTCTTGTCTGTCTCGTTCTCTTTCTCTTCCTGGACGCCATGCTTCTAATAATGCCTCGACTCTTTCTTCAGTAGGTCCCCAGCGAGCAGTACCAGATGCATTTTGTAACCACACAACTAATGTTCCATGTGCTGCTCTAATATTAACCTCACCTCTATAATAAAAAATGTTTACTTATATATTTCTTCTATTTATTAGTTCAATGAATGTCTAAGTTAACATATTGAAACTTACTTTGGTAATATATGTTGAAATCCATGTCTATATTCATGTTCCATTGCAGGTACCACTACTTGTTTGCGTTTAAAATGGCTACTTTCTAATTTGATAAGAGCATTAGGCGCTGGATCTCGCCATTCTGGTAAGAATACTACAAAAGATAAAGGTTCAGTAGAATCAGCCAAAAGACGTTCGAAATGGTTGACCATGGCTTCCATAAGTTCTTCACAATATGGTGGATTAGCTTGAAACGAGCCGCTTACAGGTCTAAAGTCTAAGAAAGGTCCTCTTGATCCAAAATAAGAATCTGTATCAGCAAATGTTGAACAATATTGTCTAAAGTAGCAATTTAATGGAGATGCAAAGCATTCAAATGTTACACCAAATGATCGTTGAAGACATTCAAAAACTGTGACAGGGAGAGCCATTTGTGTTGCTTGTCCTTCATTAATTCCAAGATATGTTTGATAACGTTTTAACATACACCAAACACGAGGTAAAAACATTTCGAATTTCTTATCATCAAAACAATTATATCTATACAGGTGTTCTAATTTAGCAAGATGTATATTATTAATACACACAGTATCACCATGAAAACGCAACATTGTCTGTTCACGTTCAGGAAGATAATCCACTTGTGGAAGTCGAGGAGTTGGAAGAGAAAATTGCACTGGATAACACCAAACTTTCCTTTGTGCACTAGCTGGTCCTCCTAATGGTATAACATTTCCTAAGCCATTATCCTTTAATATTTGATTATTTTTATCTTTAACTTTTTTCGCATATTCCGTTGATAAATGATAAATTTTTAGGCAGATACCCTCAACACTAGCTTTTACAGTTTCTGTAAGGTGTGGTTGGCATTGTCGTTTCAAATGTGCAAGACGATCTTGAAAATCATCAAATGTAGCACCAACTGTTCGTCTCAACCATTGAAATGTATCTTCTGCATTCCATTTTACAACCTTTCTACTTTCTGATGAAGCTGCTCTTGATTCTATCATCTTTTTCGCAGCTTCCGCATATCGAGATAATTGTTTTCTCGCATCACCAGTGAATTTTGGCCGGACTAATTTAATAGGGATATCATTCATAATTTCACGATACATAGACATAGAAATTTCAGGAAAACACTGACTTGGTAAAAGAGGGTCTGAACCACAGTCTATAACTTTTCTTTCCATTAACCATCTATTAAAAGAATCTTTTGGAGCATCTATAGATTCACGTGTATGACATAATTCTTGATAACACTGTCTCAGTTTTGCAAGTAAACCACAGCGTAATGCTTCTGCTTCAGGATGAACATGAGGTAAATTTGATGGAGCCCTCTCATATATTATAACATTTGTTGGAATTTCCAAATCCCATGGCCCTCTATTGTTAAAATAAAATATATTAAAACATTACAAAACCTCGTAATAAAACACATAAAACTTAATAAATTATTATATTTAAACATACGCTAATATAAATTTCTTTGCAGTTGGAACTACACTATCCTCAGAAACTCTGCGTTTAAGTGTTCCTCCTGGTGGAATGGCTCCATTTCCAGAAACAGGTGGTACACCACAAATGCCAAGTGGATCCGTAATTGGATCAAACTTGAATATACATATAGTCGACATATATGAGTTTATGTTATTATTAATTTACAACCAAATTTTATACCTTAGTACCTGGGGTTTCAAAGGTGGTATTACCCATAATGATTCTCCAGTTAATTTATTCCAAAAATATGGACGATTCTCTCGTTTACTCCAAAATTTTTTCCATCCTTGTTGTTGAAGTTCAGGAGAAAGTTCAGGTTCTGGAAATGTTCCTGGTGGTGTTCCCTGTAATCAAATAGAAACTTATTACAAAGACATGCACTTTCTTATATCTGCTTATTTATTTTAGATTATTCCAATTTATACTTATGTATTTTAACCCCTTTAGCCAGGTAATCTGTGGCATAGGTTAAAATATAATCTATAAGTCAAGTTTGTGGAAAAGATACCATATAATACAACATAACATGTCAAAAGATATAATTATACTTAATCTATTCTTTACTCTATAAATATCTTAATATATATTATATACGTTAATTTTTACTTTCATACCTTATATAAATGTTGGTAGTTTTATCATTTAATTTCCTACAATTGGATCCCAGTATATGGAGTATATGGAGAATTAAACATTGTACCTTGTTTACATAAGTGCAAAACAAATACTGACCAAATAGGTTAATACAAACTTAAATATATACTTACCTGTGACATTAGACCTGATTGTTGCATGTGACCAAGTTGTGAGCAATGGTCAGGTATAGTTTGTGCTGAACTTAACATAGGTGTCTGAAGTTTTACAGGAGTAGGAATTATGACTTGCGCAACTGTTGGAGTTGCATCTTGTTGTAACGATTGATGATGATGATGCATAGTAGATAATGAAGATGCAGATTGGCCAGATAAAGTTTCCCAAGTAGAAGTGTTTGGTATATCTTGTTTTCCTCCACTTACTTCATTCATTGTACAACGTAAGTTTTGCTGAGTACTTCATCACATATAACACATATGATACAAGTATGTTTGTTAATAAATATTTAAAAATATATAATTATTAGATATAAATATTTAATAAAATACACAAAACTTGATAAAATTTATATATTTTTTATATATATAAGATTTTTAATATGTTATTTCTAATACTTCACAGCAAATTTGTATTTTATTTTTTTATATATAAAACTAACTTCTTATATTGTAAGGTAGAAAATATTATTATTTTATATATTAAATTTATTTCTATGTTCATTAACGCCAATTACTCATAAACATAAAAGTTTACATAAACATACAAATTGTAATAGTAAGAATATTTATATCTTTCAAATTATATTATAAATTAGAAAAAAATAAATAAAATTATAAGTTTCTTTATGTATCTTTAGTAAATTTGCATACATAAAAGTAAAAAAATTATATGACAACATTTCGTAATTCAATGTTTGTTTACATGCCACTAAACCGTTTAATAAATTCACAATTTTTCGTGACGAAGAATAATACAAATTTATAAAAAACACATAATTGTCAATATAAAACTTACTAGTGTTAACAATGTTTCTAATTTGTAAAAAATGTATAACAGAACTTAGAATTCATTCATGATTTGTGAGATTTGACGCAACGACCTCCACCCGTGAGATACCATTTGCTTGAACTGAAATTCTAACGATAGCAAAGTTAAAGCTTTCCTCACAATGGCTAAGAAATTCATGTTAAAAAAAGAAAATTTCACATTAATCAAAATATAAAAACGATTTTGATTCACAAAAAATATTTTTCTAACTGATGATTTATGTTTTTTTATTATATAAATACATTGCAGATATTTAATTGAATAAATCAATTAAATTATATTTAAAAATTTTTACGTTTTAATCTTTTAGAACATACTTTTAGAATGCATAGTATCGGAAATTTAAAATGAACAAGAAAATATCAAGGAAGATGATAGAAATTGTATTGCAATTAAACAGAAAATTACAAAATAGAAAATTATTTTTGTTATTTTATTTAATTAGGAGGAAAAATTACAACTGATTATTATTTGTTATTATCAATTCTGTAATAATGCACAAATTATATTTTGTATAATTGTAATATCGATATTCATAGAGCGAATCCTTTCTATTACCTTTTTATCTACGGATTGCGCGGCCAAATCAAAGCAATATGGCGGCTTGACATAATAACTTTTGATACAGAATATATTATTTTGATTATAACGAAATAATCATCACAGAATCCGATTAAATTTCAATTTATGTGAAAGTGTATACGAAAGTATCTTGTGTTACACGAGTTTGATCATAACGTATTTACGAGCCGAATAAAACTGAAGTTTTTTTCAGTTTATAACTGGATGTGCTTCCAAGATTTATTTTATTAATGGATACAAAGATGTCTTTAATTATTAAATTAAACTAGTATTGTTATGCAGTAAGTTTTAGTAACAACTATCGCCTTTCTATGAAGAATTATGTCGTCTACACAAAGCAAAATGCGAGGTACACAAATATTAAAGCTCAAAGTAACCTTCTACTTTATATATTTTTGGCTTTTTCCTACCATTTTTTATAGGAAATATAAATTATTTTCTTTTTCATTGATAGTCAATATTATAAGTATTTCATATATCAAGTTTGGAATAATATCATTTAAAAATGTAGGTCCTGGAAGACCACCAAAATCAAAAAACTCTTGTACATGGTGTGGAGAAACTAAGCAACCTCTGAAATATGTTCTTCCAACACAACATGGAAAGAAAGAATTTTGTTCAGAAACTTGTTTATCTGAATTTCGCAAGGCATATGTACGAGGAGCTTGCGTTCAATGTGACAATGTTATCAGAGGCACACCAGTGAGATTAGAACAAAAAGATGGACCTACAAAAGATTTTTGTTCTTCATTTTGTCTAAATAAACATCAGAAGAAAGAAGGGCAAACGGATATGAAGAAAAGTTGGTAGCTTGTAAAAATTTAAAAAAAATTAAAAGATCTTTTAAAATATTTTATTGGTAATTACTTCTGTTTTAATAGATAATAGGGATCAGTCATCACCTGCTCCATCTCTTGCACCATCAGGATTAATAACTGGAAATAATATACCATCTACAACACAATCATTTACAAATACAAGTCATACAAATATATCTCATTCTCCATCAACCTCTACTGGTCCATTTCAGTATGAAACGTATCAAACTTTTGATTGGGATCTTTATTTGAAAGAAACAAACAGTCAAGCTGCACCTATTGAATGTTTTAAACAGGTACCTAAACTTAACTATAAATATAAAAATTTCACTTTAATTAAGAAGAAAATATGTATTCTGATTCTGAAATTATATTTTAGCATGAAATTCCACCAACTAATGAATTTAAAATGGGTATGAAATTAGAAGCTCTTGATCCTCGTAATTTAACATCGACATGTATTGCAACTGTAGTTGGAGTTCTTGGTCCACGTCTTAGATTGAGGTTGGATGGTTCAGATAATAAAAATGACTTTTGGCGTTTAGTTGATAGTAATGAAATTCATCCTATTGGTCATTGTGAAAAATCTGGTGGTATGTTGCAACCACCATTGGGCTTCCGAATGAATGCTTCTAGTTGGCCAATGTTTCTTTTGAAAACATTGAATGGTGCAGAGATGGCACCTGCGAAGGTGTTTAAACGTGAACCGAAAACACCTCGTTCTAATATGTTCGAAATTGGACACAAATTGGAAGCTATAGATAAAAAGAATCCACAACTTATATGCACTGCAACTGTTGGTGCAGTGAAAGATGATATGATTCATATTACATTTGATGGTTGGCGAGGAGCATTTGATTATTGGTGTCGCTTTGATTCTAGAGATATCTTTCCTGCTGGTTGGTGTTTTAAAAGTGGTCATCCATTACAGCCACCCAGACAGAAATGTAAGGATTATAACATTTTTGTAATTTATGTTATTAAAACCTGTATTTTTATTAAGTAATATACATAAATATTTATAGCAACAGGGCCTAATAGATTTAAGTCAAGGACAAGTAATGTCTTACCAGTAATGGCAGTATCTGGTGGAGGTACTAATGGAGAACCAGCAGTTGCTTTAGTGAGTCCTGCAGGTTCAAGTGCTCCTCCACAACCAGCTACAGAACCTGATACTAGTACAGCTAATACCAAACCACATTCTTTAGAGAATGGTATGCATTATTTCATTTAGATATTTTGATTTATATTATTTTGTTGTTTATTACTTTTATTATGTTACAGTTACAATTTATGTAAATCATAATTGCACATGTGGTCCCTATTTTGATCCTCGTAAAGTAAAAGCAATGCCAGCACAATTTGGTACTGGTCCTATATTAAATGTTACGAGAGACATATTTCAAGCTTTCTTGATGGCAGCAATGAGTCCAAGACAGATGTTGAGCCTATTAAAACGTGGTGAAGGAGAGACTATAAGTTTAATTTTAGAAAGTAAACCTACTTCTGTTAGGTTACCCATATTTATGGAAGAAGAGGATTTTTATATATACATTAGGCGACAACTTGAAGATCTTTGTGCCTGTGAACATATGTTATTTAGAAGAAAAGAACCTTGCAACAAATGTCCAAATACTCAACAACCACAATCCACCAATAGTGAAGAAGCAGTTAACACTGCTACTGCTACAACTAATAGTACTATTGTTGCAGAAAAAAGAAGGTGGTCTCAAAGCCAACAAAATCTATCATCAACTACCCAACAACAACAAACACAGCAGAATTCTGTACAAAGTATAAACAATTCATCGCTATCATCACCATCAGCTGCAAAACAACCACGAAAATCTGTTCCAGGTATTTTTTTTGTATCTAAATATTATTGTTAAGTAATTTATTGAAAATCAAAGGTATATTACTATTATAATTAGAACTTGAAGCTGCAACATCTACTACCCAATCTGAAAGTTCTATGAATCGCACACCTTCTACTGAACCAGCGGAGTGGACTATTGAAGATGTAATACATTACATTGGTGTTACTGATCCTGCTCTAGGACAGCATGCAGATTTATTTAGAAAACATGTAAGTTAATATATTTTATACTATTTTTTGATATTTTCTTAGCCTGAGTAATAAATTTATTCATGACTTTTTAAAATTATTTCACTACTATTATCTTTATGTAAATTATTTTCCTTTATTATAGCTATTATAAACAATATTTATTAATATTATTTCTTTACTCATATAATGAAAATTATATTATATTAATAATATATCTTTCAATTTATCCAAACAGATTGCAATTGAGTGTATATAGGTTTTTTCTTTAATTTATTTTTTTCTTTAATATTTATAAATAAGCTTTTCTGTATATTTTATGATTAATTGTTTTCAAAGTAAATTTTAAAAAAGAAGTTTTATATTCTGTTAATGCAAATTCTTGTTAATTAATTTTATAAATATATAATTTATTAATAATATTAATAATATATTATAAATATATATATATATATATATATATATATGATAAATTTATTAACAAAATACAATAATTTTTAGGAAATTGATGGAAAAGCTTTGTTACTTTTAAATTCTGATATGATGATGAAATATATGGGACTAAAACTTGGGCCAGCACTTAAAATATGCAATTTGGTAAATCGTATTAAAGGCAGAAGGCATATACTTCTGTGACTTTATCAAACATCAAACTATGTACAGTGAGTTAAATCGACACATTACTTAACCCCTTGCCTTACGATTTAAGTTCCAATAGTGCGGACCGTAAAAAGCAGCCAGATCGGTTACGCGTCGGGCCATTCTCGACTGTGGCTGAGCGTTTGAAGTGACCCAAATCGCACATGCTTTTTGCTATATAAATGCATGTGTAAGGTACAACTAATTTTATTTTGCAAGATGTTTGATAAATAATGACTACTAATTGATTATTGTACAAGAAAGATTTATAAGATTTATTTATTTTTAATTTCCATATAGTTCCAAATTTTTAATTCCTTAGTTTTTTCTATCCAAATCCATAACTCTGATTGTCGATGATTACTGTGGTCTTCATCGTCGGCATCATCTTTAATAAGCAGTCGCTTCCAACGTTTTCGTACAGAAAGTAAAATATTACTACTGTCATTATCACTATTTAAAATATCTATTAAATCACTGTTTCCGATGTTACCAGAACTTTCAATGTCCTCATCAACGCTTAATATTCTTTTAAAAGACATTTTTAAGGGTTTAGTAACTAATTATCGCGTGTAGTCCGAATGACGTACTACGTTTCTCGTACGTGATGTTTACATTTGGCCTGATTACCGTACCTCGTTTTTCTTACGTGATGTTTAGGTTTCTCTATGGCCGTATATCGTTTCTCAAATGAGCTGCTTACGTTTAGCTCGATTGCCGTGAGACGCTTCTTTCACGACATCGTAAGCTAAGGGGTTAAACTGGCTGGTCAAGTTTGTTTTCATTATTGAAAACAAAATAATATATAAGTTGTTAAAATAATGTGAATATACTGAGTATAATTTTTCAAAACCTATTCATTTATTGATTAACATAGATTTTAAGTAAACAAAGAATCAAAGTTTAATTTTATTTTAGTATTTAAATATTTCTTTAAAAAAAAAATGTATAAT